ATATCCAATATGGCAGCCATCTTGAAATTCAATATGGCGGCCTTCTGACATAATTTCTGATATCTGCATGATACTCCCGGATATCAAAAACACGAGTAGAGATATTTGACAGTGCTACATGTTATGACGATATTTACAACATTATCAATAATTAATTTGGCGGCCATCTTGAAATAGTATAGCAGCAATCTTGAAATTCAATGGTGGCATTCTGACATAATTTCTGATGGCTGCATGATAGTCCTTGATATCGAAAACATGGGTAACGGTCTTTGATTGACAGTGCTAGGTGCTGTAGATAAGATATTGACAAAAATAGCAATAATTTGGTGGCCATCTTGAAATCCAATATGGCGGCGCCATCTGACATAATTTCTGTTGATTGCATGACACTCCCTGATATTGAAAACATGGGTAATGATCTTCAGTTGGAGTAATATGTGCTGTAAATATGAATACATAGGCTAAAATTAATTATTTTGGCGGCCATATTAAATTTCAAGATGGTGGCCATTTTGAAGTTTAATATGGTGGTCTTCTGACATAATTTCTGATGGCTGCATGGTAGTCCTTGATATTGAAAACATGGGCAACGGTCTTTGATTGACAGTGCTAGGTACTGTAGATATGAATATTGACAAAAATGCCATTATTCTGGCGGCCATCTTGAAATCTAATATGGCGGCGCCATCTGACATAATTTCTGATGATTGCATGACACTCCCTGATATTGAAAACATATGTAGTGATCTTCATTTGGCAATGACATGTGCTGTAGATATTAATATATTGGCTAAAATCAAATATTTTGGTGGCCATATTGGATTTCAAAATGTTGGCCATTAGGAGGCGTTATTTTTTGGGGTCTATTTTTTTTAATGATCTTTAGGTGTCATAGTATCACTGTGGGAAGTTTCATGCTTTCTTCCAGAAGTGCATGATTCTACTTCAAATTCAACCTTAGCTGCTCTACTATAGGAACAATTTCATGGTTTATATTTTTTATACGATGCATTTTAATTCACATTTGCAGTCTGACTACCAACTTCCTTTAATTGGTGCAAATTATTTATTAATAATAATAATACAAAATACTTTCATCATCACTGTATTATGGGAATAATAGAAACATTTTTTTATTCATATGTATTTTCGATTGAACTATCCTGGCCATTGTGTCAAAATTTTAATGAGACCAAGAATTTTAATTACTTTATTTGAAAAAACACATTTTTTTTTCATCTAACGTTAAATAGAGAAACAAGTATTATTTTTCTACACTTCAATATTGTAGCAATACAAAATAATGACATTGTGTCAACATTTTAATGAGACCAAGAATTTGAATTACTTATTTTATTTTCATTTTATTTTAATACCCAAACCAATAGCAAATGAAATTTGCCACTTATAGCAGGGTAAACAATATACTCAACAGGAAGAATAATTCAGAGGCCAACATTAAAACTAGATAAAAATGTTTACAAAATAGTGAAAGATAAAAGTAATATTATAAATACTTACATCATATGGTGAAGCAAAATTGAATTGGTTGATGTTTCCTCTGCAGGCTGCTGTTCCACTCCCAGGGTCCTAGATTCAATTCCTGCCACAGTAACAGGATTTTTCTCACAAATAAAACACTTCCCTTCCTAAGCCGCCTTTATATATTATTTTTGGAAATATTAAACTGATTGACATTGGAGTTTTTCCTAAACACATGTGCCAAAGACAAGTCAAACCAGTCACTCGTTGCAAAAATCAACTTTTAGTTATTAATACAGGGTTAAACAGTAAAATTAGGGCTAATAAATTTTTATTTTTTTTTATTTTATTCGGTTTTACACTGGCAACAGTACAAAAATAAATATAAATATAAATTCCAGTGAGAGAGCGTATCAACAGGTGCGAGCACCTCTAACACGACACGCTCTCCAAATGCACAAAACCCAACGGCAAATACATAAAAATATAATTCGAAAAGAAAAAAGAAAATAATTACACAGTTCTACATACATAATAATATAAGTCGAAAAAGAAAAAATAAAAAAGTTACACAGTTTTACATAAATGACCCAAGTAACCCAAGTGCAAGTGCTGACAGGGTCAAACTCGTTGACAAACAGAAGCTCATAAAATATGCGTAAGGCTCGCTTAAAACCAGATATTGTCCAGTTTGAACGTATGGGGTGAGGGAGTTGGTTCCGCAAAGGAAAAATACGATTGAAGTAGAATCTTCTGTAAGTTTCGGTTTTGCAACGTTTGTCAACGAGTTTGAGATGGTCAGAATGACGAAGAGAACGTGAAGAGGCGAGAGATTCATTAAAAACGAAAACATTTTTAAAATCCAAGTCATAATAGCCAAAGAAACATTTAAAAAAAAACTAAAGATCAATTAAGTCCCTTCGAAAGGAAAGAGGAAGTAAATTAAGATAAATAAGGCGTTCTCTATAGTTGTAAGAATGGTACAAGAATCACTAAATCCGACATTTCATTATGAAGTTACAGGAGTTTAATCATACAGCTGTTTCGAAAACAATATTTGAGAAATCAACCTTCAAAGTTTGGGCAATTCCTAGGTAGAAACCATCACCAAATCGTTAAAAAGTGTGGTTTTAGAATTGAAAATGGGAAAAATAACAGCATAGCATGATGTATAGGTATATAAAGTTTAACTTAGTGTAATAAAATATGTTTCCAAAATGTTGACATTCGAGCATGTTTCCATTATCTCCAAAATAAGATTTGCAACGATCAACTGGTTTGGCTCGTCTTTGCCACATATTATCTCTTGATTGTTAGAAGAGTTTATCTTGGATACGAAGCCAAGTAAATTAGATTATATAAAACTATTATTTTTCTATGATTCAATACTGTAGCAATACAAAATAATTTAATTGTCACTGCATTGTGGAAATAAAGATAATATTAAACTGATAGAAATTGGGGTTTTTCCTAAACATATTATCTCTTGATTGTTAGAAGAGTTTATCTTGGATAAGAAGCCAAATAAATCAGATTATATAAAACTATTATTTTTCTATGATTCAATACTGTAGCAATACAGAATAATTTCATAGTCACTGCATTGTGGAAATAAAGATAATACTAAACAGATAGAAATTGGGGTTTTTCCTAATACATATTATCTTTTGATTGTTAGAAGAGTTTATCTTGGATATGAAGCCAAATAAAATCAGATTATATAAAACTATTATTTTTCTATTATTCAATACTGTAGCAATACAAAATAATTTCATTGTCACTGCATTGTGGAAATAATACAGAAATACAAAATAATTTTTTAACCTTTTAAAGGAAAATCTAGATTAATTAACTCCTGAACAACTTGATGTTGAATTATCTGGTAAAATTACTTATGTTTTTATTTTAAGTCTTGGTTAATACATTTTCAACATCTTGCTACACTATATTAAACCGATTGACATGTATTAACTGGTAGTAGTATTTTTTTTTTTTTTTTTACCAAAACTTGTTATTTCTCCAATTTTTGAAGAATTTAGCCTATAAAGCCAAATAAAAAACTATTACTTTTTTTCTGATTCTGCATTGTAATAATACAAATATTTTTATCATCACTGCATTGTGAGAATTTTAAAAAAGCTTTTTGGATTCATATTTAATTATTTGATTGGCCTTGATGGCCATTCTGTTAACATTTTAATGAGACCAGCAAATTATGAATTGTCATTTGTTGAAGCAAAAATGCTGTCTGCTTAAAATAGAAATATACAAATTATCAATAGACTCATCCTCTAAAATACATAAAGGATATTCTAAAACAAGTCTTAAATATATTTTTGTTAAGGAAACCATGCTGGATTAGATTATATTAAGTTTATTTTATTTTTTTAATTTACCTTGCTTTATATATTTTGAACATTTTACTGTATTTTTACCTGAATGGCCTTCAATTGGTTGATGTTTTAATATATTTGTCTAGTAGGAGTTTCATTTGGAAACAAGGAATAGAATATCCAACATATATCCAATTATAAAGCTACCGCAAAACCTCAAATTGAAGTCCAATGGGCTTAATCTTGAGAAGAATCTCAAATTGAAGCCATCTTCTTTAGTTTGCAAAAGTAGCCTCGAGAAGAAGCCCATCTTGAAAAGGCCATGGGTTTCTTCAAGGTAGCATGACATAAACTGTACATACACTGTACATGAATTTCAAAAAAACAAAATAAATTTAAAACATGCTTGGTTTGGTTTAGGTGATTTTAAGCTGGTAAATAAACTCCATAATACAGACTGATGTTTCAGTGGCCCTATTTACTGTACTGTTGCTTTATAAGCCATTCAGCATACTTTTTTATATCAAGACATCTCCAAATTCTTCTCCTCCTTCTCATTCAAATTCTCCTTCTCCTCATTCTCCTTCTTCTAATCTAAATTCCCAATTGAAGGCTTTGGCCCAGTAGCTCGGCAGGAAAGTGCTGTACCAGTACATTTATAGGATTTGTATTAATGTAGTCCCATATCCTATCCATTACTGACATTACTGAAGAATTATTAGTAATCCACTGTAACTCAATTTGTTAGGTCTTAATACAAAAATACTTCAGTACAATAACGACAAAATAACTGCCTCTAGTAGAAGGCACTATAAGACCAAGGCAACCTAGAGTTGTGAGGATCAAAAAGATCAAGATTTTAATCAGACAAGACAACCTTATGTGTATGAGGTGACTGCAGATCAACATGTAATTCAGTATCTTTTACCTTTTAAATTTTGATTTTTATATTGATTTTTATATGTTTCTGTATTTTTTACTTGTTGTACGACAAATATGTGCTTTCAATTTTACTTCATTGTTTTAGGTAATTGAATCATGTTTTAATTGCATCAACATGTAATTCAGTGTCTGCTTCTGTCATGTGTGATTTTGAAAATGAATTGAATTAAAGTGAACAAAATCATTGTTTAAGGAATTGCTTTTAATGAATAAATTTCAGAAAGAGCTTCAAGTCTTCCCACTCGTCGTTCATGGGGCCCGGGTAAGTACTAAACCTTTACATACTCCAAACAAATTTTCAAAGCTAGTAAGAAGTTAGTAGAAATAGCATTGTCTGCTAGTATTGAGACAGGCTTTAGGGGATATAGATAACTTGTCCACAAAACAAATACAAATTAGATTTTTAGTGAAGAACTGATAGACCCAAGAATGTAAATGCCTTGTCATTTTTCTGAAGCATATATATACTAAACATTAAAACAATGCACATTTAAAAGAAATTGTATTTCTCCCAAGATATCAAAATGGATTAAAATAATTTATTGGGTAAAATATTATACAAATAATGAATGCAATGGAAAGAATATTTTTATAAGCTGAAAGATTGACTATTCCATTCAACGAGGCAGAGCCAAGTTGAATGGAACAGTCAATCTGTAAAGGAAGGAAAATATTCTTTCCATTGATTGTACGAATACAAAACATTCATTATTTGTTTCATAATGCACCTCAACAAATCCTTGTCATTTGTTTTGATATCCAGTTCTTTATCTGTCCTAGGATGTCCTAACCAAGCTTGCATACGATTTCAAATGACGTTTGTTTTTTAGTATTTGCTGAATCGCAACTGTCCGTCTGTCATCAGAACATAGCCTACCATCTTCGAAGTGTCCCAGACTGTAAAAGGCCTGTCGCCTGCTCGGGTAATATGTTCTCCATACAAACCAAGCCCAGAGATGCCTAGACCCTAGGCTAGAAATCTGTCAATGCATTTCGAAAAATAAGGGCCAACTACAGCGCAGATTTTACCGCAAAAATAGATATTCCAATTGCTAGTGCAAATTTGAGCTTGTTTTTGAGGTAATAATAAGGATATTACCTAAATATTTATAATGTGCCAACTTCAAATTGAATAATCAAAGGTGCAAGTGTTATTACCCTGGTCACTGGATAACATACAATGGCAAACCAGCACAAAGTGCAACCTTCTCTACTCCCTGGGAAGTATCCCTGTTCGTTTGCTACTTCTTTAGTGCACAAAACTAGTACATTCAATGCCATAACATCCTAGCAGGTACCCCAGGTTAATTGTAAATTAATAACTTATTTAAATACTGTGTACACCGACACACAAATAGTTTTAAACATATACTGGAAAATGATATTTTCATATTTCATTCTACTATTACTAAACCAGGGCTGCAAGCCCTAGGATTTTTCAAATAAAAAACTTTTCAACTTAATACTAGTATTCAGGGTAAGTTTTTTTCTGGTTAACTTTATATTAGGGCGCAATATTGAAAACAGAGATTTTGTATTCTTTTATAATAGAAATTTCTAACTTTATTAAGTGTTATTAAAAGCTTTGCTAATATTAATAAACCTTTTTCAATAAAGAAGTCTTGGAAAGCACGTAATTAATGTAAGAAATCACATTTTTTTTTTCATCTAATGTTAAATAGTGAAACAAGAATTGGATCAACCAAGACAAATTTCTGATAAGAAACTGTCTGCAAAACTGTATGAGAGAAAATCTTCTGGTGAGTTTTAAGAAATCATTAATTTAGACTTAAATAAAATCTATAAACACTATTATGTGAGAAAGCAGGATAAAATGTGAGGAACATGAAGAATGTAGAACTGTATAATAGAAAATTTTCTGGTGAGTTTTAAGAAATCATTAATTTTAAAAATCTATAAACACTATTATGTGAAAAGCAGGATGAAATGTGAGGAACATGAAATAAAAATCAGGGAACACACTAGGATTTGCCCAGTGCAAATTGTAAAGGGGAATGCAATCAAAGCGAGCATCATTTGAATGGGGGGGGGTGGGGTGCGGGTGCTGTCTTAGACTTGGGTGGGTTCCAGGGTTGAAGTTCCAGTTAGCTTTAGTAGGCCGCTAAGTTGGTTTCTAGTTTACAATGATAAAGTTACTTTGTAATATATATTTTAATTGTAATATTCACACTTTTCAATTATGTGGCTCACAAATGTTTTATATAACATTCACTGTCTGCCAAAAAAAAATGGAGAAGCATTTAAAATTTATGAAAAATAGTGAATATAGTTTCGCATTAAAAAGAAACAGTTAAAAAAAGTTTACTTCAAAAAATCCCTGAATCAATTACCAACCAATTTAAGGGTCTATTCAAAAGAACGTTTAATTTAACTCACCATTTGATTTTTAATTGGAAATTACTAACTTCTTTATATACTGTATACAAATTAAACAATACAAAAATCATGTTCACCATGGTATAAGCTGATCAGATCACAAAAGAGCATAGTTAGAGATATACCTAAAACTTCACAGGGGTCCTCAATGGTACATGATTTATTGGTGTTGTGTAGGTGTGTTAAAATTGTAAAGTGAAAATATATGCCTCTGCTCCAGGTGTTAGCCAATCTTATTTTGATTGGTCAATTTGAGGATTCATTGTAATTACTTATTTTAAACATAATAACCTGCTGCTATATGATTTAGAAACAGTATGTTATGCTGAAACTTAATATACTCTACTTTTGATAATTCAAAATAATTTATTTGAAAAAACACATTTTTTTTTTCATCTAACGTTAAATAGAGAAACAAGTATTATTTTTCTACACTTCAATATTGTAGCAATACAAAATAATGACATTGTGTCAACATTTTAATGAGACCAAGAATTTGAATTACTTATTTTATTTTCATTTTATTTTAATACCCAAACCAATAGCAAATGAAATTTGCCACTTATAGCAGGGTAAACAATATACTCAACAGAAAGAATAATTCAGAGGCCAACATTAAAACTAGATAAAAATGTTTACAAAATAGTGAAAGATAAAAATAATATTATAAATACTTACATCATATGGTGAAGCAAAATTGAATTGGTTGATGTTTCCTCTGCAGGCTGCTGTTCCACTCCCAGGGTCCTAGATTCAATTCCTGCCACAGTAACAGGATTTTTCTCACAAATAAAACACTTCCCTTCCTAAGCTGCCTTTATATATGTTATTTTTGGAAATATTAAACTGATTGACATTGAGGTCTTTCCTAAACACATGTGCCAAAGACAAGTCAAACCAGTCACTCGTTGCAAAAATCAACTTTTAGTTATTAATACAGGGTTAAAGAGTAAAATTAGGGCTAATAAATTTTTTTTATTTTTTTAAATTTTATTCGGCTTTAACAGTACAAAAATATATATATAAATATAAATAGAAATTCCAGTGAGAGAGCGTATCAACAGGTGCGAGTACCTCTAACACGACACGCTCTCCAAATGCACAAAACCCAACGGCAAATACATAAAAATATAATTCGAAAAGAAAAAAGAAAATAATTACACAGTTCTACATACATAATAATATAAGTCGAAAAGAAAAAATTAAAAAGTTACACAGTTTTACATAAATGACAGAAACATTTAGTAACCCAAGTGCAAGTGCTGACAGGGTCAAACTCGTTGACAAACAGAAGCTCATAAAATATGCGTAAGGCTCGCTTAAAACCAGATATTGTCCAGTTTGAACGTATGGGATGAGGGAGTTGGTTCCACATAGGAACAATACGATTGAAGTAGAATCTTCTGTAAGTTTCGGTTTTGCAACGTTTGTCAACGAGTTTGAGATGGTCAGAATGGCGAAGAGAACGTGAAGAGGGAGAGATTCATTAAAAACGAAAAAATTTAAAATCCAAGTCATAATAGCCAAAGAAACATTTAAAAAAAAACAAAAGATCAATTAGGTCCCTTCGAAATGAAAGAGGAAGTAAATTAAGATAAATAAGGCGTTCTCTATAGTTGTAAGAATGGTACAAGAATCACTAAATCCGACATTTCATTATGAAGTTACAGGAGTTTAAACATACAGCTGTTTCGAAAACAATATTTGAGAAATCATCCTTCGATTTTGGGATTTTTCCTAGGTAGAAACCATCACCAAATCGTTAAAAAGTGTGGTTTTAGAATTGAAAATGGGAAAAATAACAGCATAGCATGATGTATAGGTATATAAAGTTTAACTTAGTGTAATAAAATATATTTCCAAAATGTTGACATTCGAGCATGTTTCCATTATCTCCAAAATAAGATTTGCAACGATCAACTGGTTTGGCTCGTCTTTGCCACATATTATCTCTTGATTGTTAGAAAAGTTTATCTTGGATACGAAGCCAAGTAAATTAGATTATATAACTATTATTTTTCTATGATTCAATACTGTAGCAATACAAAATAATTTCATTGTCACTGCATTGTGGAAATAAAGAT